TTACTTGCCTTTGTGTAGGTGGTTCAGCTGCCCTGGGTGCCTTGCTTAGACCTCCTCAGTCCTGAGTCGGTTGCCCTTGCGTCACAGACGAAGAAGCAGATGGAGTTATGTCCTGGCCACGGTCCCCTGGCAGAGCCAACAGTGGTCTCCAGAGCACGACCACACTCCCTCTGTAAGGAAAGCCCAATTTCAGGGTGGCAGCCTTGCCTTTGACCATCCCATGAAAGGGAATTTTTACTGTGGATTCTGTCTTTAGACAATTAGATTATTTTGATGAGTGCTAGTTCTGCAGACTTGCGTTTTAGGGACTCTGCCTTACTTAGGAGATAATTCTGGCTTTAGATACCCCATTTACAGCGTGCTTGCTAACTTAGGTGTTTGGTGGGTAAGGGCATCTGTTTGCCGGCACCACCTCTCCTGGCTGCAGGCAGACAGCTCTGAGTGACGGCCTCGGGGCTAGACTGGTGGGATGACTTTTGTCAGCACAAACACAGTTCATGAGGATCTGAAGAACAGGTTTATACTTCCAGCAAAAGAAAAACTTTTGAACTGTGACTTTAGTGTTAATGTTTCGTTACATTTGTGTAATGGATATGATTGTTACCGCCGGTTCTTGCCATCCATATTCCCCTCACTCCCTCCTTCCTTCCCTCCCCATCCTCCCAACTACTATGGTGAAGCTCCTGATAGTGTATATGCAGGTGCTAACATATGGGAGGTGAGTCTCCAGTTGGGGAGCTTGTTAGCAATTGTATTAGGGTTCTCTTAGAGGGACAGAACTAATAGGATATATATACACACACAGACACACACAGATATATATAATGTATAATATATTATGTATCATATTATGCATGTATTATATATCATATATAATATAAATAATATATATAGGAGTTTATTAAGTATTAACTTACACAATCACAAGGTCCCACAATAGCCAGTCTGCAAGCTGAGAAGCAAGAAGCCAAGAAGAGCCATTCTGAGTCCCCATACTGAAGGACTTGGAGTCCAGTGTTCGAGGGTAGGAAACATCCAGCATGGAGAAAGATGTAGACTGGGAGGCTAGGTCTGTCTCTCCTTTTCGTGTTTTTCTGCCCGCTTTATATTCACAGGCAACTGATTAGATGGTGCCCACCAGATTAAGGGTAGATCTGCCTTCCCCAGCCCACTGACTCAAATGTTAATCTCTTTTGGCAACACCCACCCAGACACACCCAAGATTAATACTTTGTATCCTTCAATCCAATCAAGTTGACAGTATTAACCATCACACCAATCATCAAAACAGTATAGAAAGTGAGATTAGTTCATTAACAGCAATTACTTATTTAATGCAGAGGATCTAAAAATATAGAACAGTTAAAACATAAATGTCAATGAAAAATGTGATGCTATGAGCAAAATATTAGGGAAGCCTATCTGTGTCCTTTCTGATTATGTGTATTTATGGCGTATACAGTGATGCTTAGGTTACCATTCATTTGGATGTGCACCCAGGCCTGAAAGGCACTAAGGTACAAATGGGGTCATTAGCTGTGGGCATAAGTTGTCTCAGAGCCAGACTGGTGGCTGGGGAGGAGGTGGCCCCAGAACTACTTCTTGGACGTTGGAGTGGCACCTGCCCCTAAGTGGCTTTTGTGGTCACCCAGATAATAGAGCTGGAGATGCTGTCCTTGGCCATGTTTGAGCTCCACTTCCCTGCGTCAGATGTTTTTTGAGGGCCGTCATGGTCTGCCTTTTCTCAAGAAGTAGGGGGAAGAGACTTGTAAGACGGGAAATGGAAACCCAAATCCTAAGACATAGTCCATGTCTAATGTGATGTCTAAGGATATGTTTTCATGAGTAGAGCTGCCACAATATTTTTATATGTTGGAGATACCTTATCTTTATGGAATTGCTCCTTAAAGAGAGTAGATTTTAAAAGCTGTGCTTCTTGATGCCCTTGGAAGCTGTCGCGTGAGTCCAGTTTGCTGCCATTGTGCAGTACTGTATCTGTCTCTTTACATGTGCTGGGTACAGAGTGACTCTCTGCTTGTTGCTTGTCCTTATGCAGTTTGGCTTCTCCAAGCACCTTGGTTATGATGTGCATGGATCTGGTTAAGTTATAAAGACCCATGACCATCTCCCGAAAATCCAGCATCCAATACAAAGTGTACATTCCTCATTCAATCACATAGTCATTTTTATGAATTGGTCATAAACAGGAAGTAAAGGTACCCTGCCTCCTCCCCAACCCCCACTCCCCAGAAACCAGAAACAAAAAGAACTGTCAGACTCCTGGATGTCTTGCTCCTGAGGGTATCGTGCAGGTCTCTGTGTGTGCCAGGTTCTGTTGCTGTTTCAACATCCTACGTAAGTAAACAAAACACCCTAGAATGAAAAGTAACAAGTCCCCTCCTTTCCTGTAATCCCCCCTGATCCCCTGGCATAGTCTGTAGGTTTTAGCTCTGAAAGAAACATTTGTTTGAAAGAGAGAGAGGAAAGTGCTGCTGTTTCACTGGAGGTATTTTTGTTCTTTTTTGAGGGGGTGGGATGAGTTAATTCTGACCATGGCTTAAGCCTATAAAGTAGGCTTTAAGCCAATGATGTAGCCATCAGCTCTGCCTGGTGACAGCTCACCCTACAACTTCTTTCTTTTGTGGAGAGTAATTTTTACCTGAGCCATATAAACATAAAACCCATTGTAAATAATAAATATTGTGATATTTATTAAAAGAGTATTCCTTAAAAGTAACAACCTCTGAAAGAGCTGTAAACATGATCTAATAAACAATGATCTCGAAGCTCCCTACCTTTGGGGGCTGTTAAGTTAATGTGAATGCCCACTATAGCTGTTAGTGTGCTAGGTCTACAAACTTTTCACATAAAATACTTTAGAACAGTTATTTAATTTGCTTATTCTTAGTTTGTAATTCCTAGACTATCTCCTATTTTGTAGCTTCAAAGAGAAACTCTATGGCAGTAATTTTCTAGGTGGTTCACTTTGTTAAGAATGTCTCTTCCCTTTCTCAAAGAACTAAAATTAGAACTGTCATTTGACCCAGCATTCCCTCTACTGGGTATCTACCTAAATAAAAAAGAAATCGTTCTGTCAGAAAGACACCTGCACATGTATGTTTATTGCAGCACTGTTCACAATAGCAAAATCATGGAATCTACTTAAGTGCTGATCAACAGTGTACTGAATAAAGAAGATGTGGTACATGTACACCATGGAATACTATACCCCCATAAAAAAGAATGAAATCATGTTCTTTGCAGCAACGTGATGCAGCTGAAGGCCATTATCCGAAGTGAATTAATGCAGAAACAGAAAATCAAATACCACGTTTTCCCATATAAGTGGGAACTAAACAGTGGATACGCATGGATGCAAAGATAGGAGTGGTAAACACTGGGGACTCCAAAACGGAGGGAGGGAGGGGATCAAAGGTTGAAAAAACTGCTTGTTGGGTACTGTGTTCACTGTTTGAGTAATGGGTTCACTAGAAGCCCAAACCCCAGCTTTATATATTATACCACTGTAACACACTTGTACATGTAGTCCCTGAATCTGAAATAATTATTTTTTAAAAGACTATCTCTTCCCCTTATTTGCCTTGCTTTTCATAGCAAAAATAGAAAAAATCGAGTCACATAATGTCTTGTTCTTTTGGAGTTAAAAAAGGGGTACTTTACACTCAAAAAGAATGATCCTTCCAAAGGAATTAACAGGTAACTAGGTATTGACATTTGCATTTGGTGGCATTCTTCTCTAAGAGATCCTGGCTTTGATGCAGCTGGTTCCTGTTGCAAAATGGTATTTCCCATGAGTGTGAGATTATGAAGAGTTGCTCCTAGAAAGCCATTTTGTTCTATGAACATATTTAATCAAGAAAATAAATATCCTTTTGCAAATTTTTACAAGCATGTAAGACATATTCCTTGCAGAAGCCAAGACATATTTAATAAAAAGCTGATTTCAAATTGGCTGAGTTTTTAATGCCTGCATTGGAATAAACCTGTATCCCATATCCTTTACTCATTTGGGACCCAAGACCTTGTCTCAAGCACAAGAAAGTCCAATTTAAGTAAAATTAGTTTCTCGGTAGACAAGAGAGGCCCTGATAAAATCCTCAAGTTGAAACATGCTAAAACCCTAGCAAATTGAATTCAGACCCATATTATTAGAAAGTACAGACCCTCAAAGGTAAAGTAGAAGATGTTGAAGGCACAGAGGGAGAAAGAGGGATCGCCTGAGGGCCTGCAATGACACTGACTGTGGATTTCCACGGTAATCATAGAATATGAAGATGGAGCTGAGAACATAACTGCCAACCTAGAATACTTTACTAATGTAAAATATGATTCAAGAAGCAAAATGAAATGGACACTTTCAAACATTTGAACATCTGAAATTTTTACCACTGTGGGACTCATGCTAAAACGATCACGAAAGGATATTCTTCAAAAAGAAAGAAATTGAGCTCAGAAAGGCGTTTAGATGATTGGTGAGCAAGGAAGTGGGAGATGGCAGGTATATCTAAACCACATTAGTTGTATTAGTTGTACAAAACAGTAATACTAATTTTGACAAAATTGGGGAACATTTTATCGACTAAAATTTGTAGCAACAAGAAGATAGGTGATCAGGAGTAATATTTTATCCTGTCCTTTTATTATTTGGGAGGGAAGGCAATAACTTTAGATTTTAATAGATAAGCATGCTCATATGGTTTGGCTGTGTCCCCACCCAAACCTCAGCTTGTATTATACCTCCCAGAATTCCCACGTGTTGGGGGAGGGACCCAGGGCGAGGGGGTAATTGAATCGTGGGGGCCAGTTTTTCTCATGCTGTCTTGTGACAGTGAGTAAGTCTCACAAGATCTGATGGGTTTATCAGGGGTTTCTGCTTTTGCTTCTCCCTCATTTTTCTGTTGCTGTCACCATGTAAGAAGTGCCTTTCACCTCCCACCATGATTCTGAGGCCTCCCTAGCCATGTGGAATTGTAAATCCAATTAAACGTCTTTTTGTTCTCAGTTTTGGGTATGTCTTTAGCAGCAACGTGAAAATGAACTAATACACATGCTAAAGCTGTAAGGATAACAACTGAAAATTACAAATTATAGAAAGAAAGAGCCAAAGAACTATAGAAAAAGCAGGAGTGTTAGAGAGAGTGAACTCCAAGTTTCTCTTCAAAGAATCAGTATGTCAGTATGTTCAGCTTTCTTATTCTTTGATTCTCCAATTTAAAGTTTAACTTCCTGGTTCTCTTTGCCCCCTTGCCTCTAGTTTCAGTAAACAACTTTGCTGCCAGTTCTAGTCAGTAGTTCACATCTGTTCCTCTGATCACCTGCTCCATCCTAAGTCACCCCTGGTCACCTGCTCCATCTTGAGTCACCCCTGGTCACCTGCTCTGCCCTGAGTTACTCCTGGTCACCTGCTCCATCTTGAGTCACCCCTGGTCACCGGCTCTGACCTGAATCATCCTGGGTCACCTGTTCTGTAACTGCCCTTCCCGCCGAACTACTCATCCCACCACTCCGGCTCATACCCCTTCTGTCTTTAAAATAGCCAGTTGGGATTAGCTTAGACTGTGCAGTCCAACCCTAGCCAACAGGAGAATGACACAGTAGTAAGGGCTACCTGCATCAGGAATAAGAACCCGTTCCGCTTCCTTGTCCAGGTGTGCTCTTGCCATTGCTCCATCTGTGAGTCACACCCTTCTATAGAAGTAAAAATTGCCTTGCTGAGAAAAGGAAATTTATGTTCAAGTGCTATTTTCTTGCAGCACCAAGTAACAAGCATTTGTTTCTCACAAAGAGTATAGAATGAAATGATCAAAATAAATACAGATAAAATGTGTTTGTAATCCCAATAGCTAAAAAGGGATTAAATTTCAGGTAAAGATCAGAGATGATCAGATTGGATAAAACATAATTTTAAGGAGGAAAGAAGATGAAGGTGGTCATTGTACATTGATAAAACAAATAGTTCTCCATGAAGATAAAGTGATTTTAAACTTGTTTACTTTTGGTAGCATAGTTTCAAAATAGTTAAGGCAAAGGCAACATAATTTTAGATCTATAGTCAGTGTCAGTTGTTGAATGACTTCTCTGTAAGTAACTAGTAGATCGATGAGAAATTACAAAGATCAGAAAATTTGAACAGCTGCAGTTTTGTTTAAGTGGACATAAAGAACCTTACCTTTAATAAGGAGATAAATTCTTTTAAAATACAAGACATTCAAATTTCTTTACACACTAGACCAGAAAGCAGTTAGTATCAACAAAAAACACATTTATATCATACTATGTTATCTGATCACAATTGTTAGATTAGAAACTGAATTTCTAATTTTATGCATTTTGGAAATTTGAATTCAATATAACATGTGGGCCAATGAAGAAAACAAACTGGAATTAAGAGTGGTTGTCAAAATTTTGGAGTCGGTCAAGTACCCAAATTAAAAATCAGAAAGGAGAGTGAATAAAGTTAAAGGAAAAGAGATGTTTTTCTTTGTTTTCTTTAAGAATGTTACAGAGAAGAACAGAAAATAATTCCAAAACATGGATACAGTTGAGAGGATACAAGTGCAAAAGTATTTATTTATTTATTATTTTTATTTTTATTTATTTTTATTTATTTATTTTTTTAAAGTGACAGTTTATCAAGTACAAGAAAGAAGATTAAAACATTAGGAATGAAAAGAAGGTCACATCTACAGGAACAACAAGTATTTGTAAAAGACTACGAACAACTGCATGCCAGCAAGTATGAGATACTATAGTAAGTCCTCACTTAACGTCATCAGTAAGTTCTTGGAAACTGCTACTTTAAGTGAAAAGACAATGGCGAGTCCTTGAATAAGATCATTTCCTTCAGTGTCATTTTATTATAATGTTGATGAGGGGAAAAATGGTTGTGTTATAAATTTGCTTGAAGTCACAGTTTCCAAGAACCTGTCAAAGACAGAGGACTTACTATATAATACTTAGAATATAAGCAGTTTTCTAGAAATACCCAACCAGATTGACTAAAGAAGAGTAGGAGACCATTCAAGAAATGAATTACTTAATAATCTATACCGTCTCATTTTGCCCTCTACCCCCATACTAGGCCCAGAGATTCACGGATGTGTTCTACCAAACAGTCAAGGGAATGGATTCTCAAAATTTTACACCATTATTTCCAGAGAGAAGGAAAAAAAGGAACTAAATTGATCCTCTAGTTTGGTTTTATTTTCAAGCTATCATGAAAAGCTTCAAATTTCTGTCACAGATAAGTATAACAAATTCTTGTGAACTCATCATCAGTCACCTAGCATTAACAATTAGAATATTTTGCCATTAGTGTTTCATCAATAATTTCTCATAGATACCCTTTTTTGTTTGTTTTAAAATACTTGTAACTGTAGATATGACCCACTTTTCATTTCTAATGTTTTGTTTGTTGTTTCTGGAGTATGTTAAAGCAAATCCAAGCCTTGCTAAACTCATTTATTTTCAAAGTTTTTCAAAAAAAATTTCTAATTTCTTCCTGCATATTGGATCATACCGTCTGTGAATAAGGACGGTTTTACTTTTTTCCAATCAATCTGGATTTTGTCTTTTTCTTTAGCAAGAATCTGCAGTACAATGGACAATAGGAGTGCTGAGAATGATCATCCTTACTTCTTTCCTGGGATCTTTGGGGAAACATCTTCAGTCTTTCACATTAAGTATGTGTTAGCTGTAGGGTTTTTGTAGATTTCCTTATCAAGTGGAGAACGTTCCCTTTTATTTCTAATTTGTTGAGAGTTTTGGTCATGAAGGGGTGTTGGATTTTATTAAATGCTTTGTCAGCGACTATTGAGATGATTGTGTGGTTTTTGTCCTGTAATCCATTACATTAATTGACTTTCTGATGTGAAACCAACTCTGAATTCCTGGGATAAACTCTGCTTGGTCATGGTGCACAATCCTATTTATATGTTACTGAATTTGTTTTTGAGGAATATTGTTATGTAGGTTGTTGTGGGGTTTTTTTGTTTTTTGTTTTTTGGTAAAAAAGATTTTGCTGATTTCCTTTTCTTCTGGAGTCAGTTTTGGTAACTTACTGTTTCCTAGCAATTTTTGCATTTCATCTAAATTGCCTGATTTGTTGACACAGAGTTATTCAGAGTATATCGTGTTTCCTTCCTTTCTACCAGGTGTAGGTAGTGATGTCTCCTCTTTCATTTCTGATATGGGTTATTTGTGTCATCTGTCTTTTTTTGGGTGGAAGGTCAGTCTAGTGAAGAGCTGAATTCTGTTGAAGCTTTCAAATAACTTATTTTTTGGTTTGATGTATTTTTCTGTTTTATTGTTGCTGCTGCTGAATTGATTTATACTTGAATCTTTATTGTTTCCTCTCTCCTGCTTCCTTCGGGCTGAATTTGCCTTTCTGTTTCTTATTTCTTCAATAGGAAGATTAGATTATTGGTTCTTTTACTTCTTTTATGACATAAGTGTTTAAAACTACAATTTTCTGTAAGCACTACATTGGCTACATTTCAAAAATTTTCATGTGTTGCTTTCATTTTCATTCAATTCTAAATACTTTATAATTTTCCCTATATTTTCTTTTTTGACTGATGGTTTTTTTTTAAGAAGTGTGTTTTTTTTAATTTTTAAATTTTGGAGAGTTTCCAAAATTGTTGATTTCTAATTTAATTCCATTATGGCCATTAAACAAAATTTTCTCTTTAGTTTTTGATAGTTTGACTATTATGTGTCCAGATAAGGATCTTTTTATATGTCTTAAATCTTTTTAAAATTACTGAGACCTATTTTATGGCCGACATTCTGGTCTTCTGTAGTAAATGTTCTGAGTGCACTTGAAAGGAATGTGTATTCCATTGCTGGACGGACTGTAAATTTCAGAGTGAGTCAGTTGACAGTGTTCAAGTCTTGTATATCTTTGCTGACTTTCTGTTTTGGTCTATCAGTTACTGATAGTGGGATATTGAAATATCCAACTATAAATGTGGAATTGTGTATTCTTTCATTTCTGTCAGTTTTTGCTTCATGTATTTTGAGGATCATACATACACACACACATTCATAGTTATTACATCTTGCTTGAGATACTGACTCTTTTTACTATTATGAAATGTTTCTCTTTGTCTGTAGTAATATTTATTGGCTAAAAGTCTTGTTTAATACTCATACAGTCACTTCTTATGATTATTGTTTTCATGTCATATTTTTTCCTCTCCTTTTACTTTTTACCAGTTTTTGTCTTAGAATCTAAAATGTGTCTCTTGTGGACAGCATATGGTTGCTTTAAAAAAGCTGGTCTGATAATTTTTTTTTTTTTTTTTGAGACGGAGTCCTGCTCTGTCACCCAGGCTGGCGTACAGTGGTGCAATCTCGACTCACTGCAGCCTCCGCCTCCTGGGTTCAAGAAATTCTCCTGCCTCAGCCTCCCAAGTGCTGGGACTGCCCGCGCCCACCACCACGCCCAGCTATTTTTTGTATTTTTAGTAGAGACGGGGTTTCACTGTGTTGACCAGGCTGATCTCAAACTCCTAACCTCAGGTGATCCACTCACCTTGGCCTCCCAGGGTGTTGAGATTACAGGCATGAGCCACTGTGCCTGGCCTTGATCTAGTAATTTCTGCATTTAGTTAGGAGTATTTAGTTGTTTCATATTTAATGTAGTTACTGATATGGTTGGTTTTAGTTTGTCAATTTGCTATTTTTCTGTTTATCTGTTGTCAGTTTATTCTTTCCTGCTGCCTCTTAGTTAAATGTGTTTGTTTTATTTTTTGGCCTGTACCATAGTCTCTGAATTTTAAAACTTAACCTTTGAATTATTTTCTTATTGATTGCTCTAGGGATTATAATATGCATTTTAATTTATCACAGCCCACTTGGGATTAATACTACCCTAATTCTAGTCAGTATATCAGCTTTGCTTCATATCTCTCCATCTCCTCCCCCCTGCTTTTTGGTAATTTATTCATATTTATTATACAGAGTATGTTAAATGTGTGTAATGTTGTAATTAATGCTTTATACAATGTTATGTCATTTAAAGAAATCAAGAGAAGAAAGAATATTCAAGTAGTCTTCTGTATTTACTCACATATTTCCCTTTTCTAGTGCTTTACCCTTCTTCCCATGGTTTTGCATTACTTTTTGGAGTCCTTTCAGCCTATAGGACTTCATGCTTTCTGTCAGGCAGCTCTGTTGGCAAGAAATTTTCATTTATTTGGGAATACCTTTATTTTGCTTTCTTTTTTTTCTTTTAGAAATGTATTCCTTCATTTATTGGTGTGAGATGGGGTCTTGATCTATTGCACAGGCTGGAGTGCAGTGGTGTGATCATAGCTCACTGCAACTTCGAACTCATGGGTTCAAGTGATCCTCCTACCTCAGCTTCCCAAGTAGCTTGGACTACAGGTGTGTGCCACTGTGCCTAGCCTTGTCTTCATTTTCAAAGGATAGTTTTGCTAAATATAGAATTCTTGATTGTTTTCCCTTTGGTGCTTTGAGTATGTCATTCATTCTCCTGCTTTCTGACCTCCATCATTTCTGATGAAAAGTCAGCCATTATATTTGTATATATTTTTGTTCCTGTATAAATTATGAATTATTGTTTTTCTTGCTGGTTTTAAGATTTTTATCTTTCTCTTCCACCAGTTTAGTATGTGTCTAAGAATCTCTTTTTGTTTATATTGTTTGGGCTTTGCTGAGCTTCTTGGACCTGTACATAATTGCCTTTCATTTTATTTGGAATATTTTCAGCCATTATTTCTTAAAATGCTTTTTCTGTTCCTTCTCTCTCCCCTCTCCTCTCCTTAGGGTATTCCCATTACGTGTATGTCTGCACTGTTGCTGTTTCCCCACTCTCTGAGGCTGTTTTTCTTACATCTTTGTTTCTCTCTTTCGGAGAAGTTCTGTTGATCTCTCAGATGTTCACTGGTTCTTTCTTCTGCCATTTCACATCTACTGTTGAGTCCGTCATTGGATTTTTAAACTCTAGAATTATTTTTTTATTTTGATAGATGCTTTTTATTTGTTGGCATTTTCTGTTTGAGTCATTGTCATCATGTTTTCCTTTAGTTCAGTAAACATGGTTTTAAAAATCTGTCAAGCACCATTAAAATAGTTGATGTGAAATCCTTTTCTACTAAGCCCAAATTCTAGGCAAACTTAGTTTCCATTGACTATTCTAATTTGCGTATGACTCATGCTTTTCCTGGTATTTTGTTTTCAGGATTTTACTTTGAGTTTTGTTACTGTTTTAGGAGTGTGTGTGTATTTGTGTTTTGAGTCACTTGCCTGGGTATAAGCTGAGGTATCTTGTCCTCTCTACATTGAATGAACACTGATTTTTTTCTTTTCAGTCACCCCCTGTCCCCCTTGCTTTTAGCCTGACTTTCTAGGAGTCAGTCTTGTGTCTGCATAGTTTATGTGTGAGCCATGTTTTGGTCAGGGATTGTGGACAAACATCTTGAGCCCATAAGGCTTCCACTCCCTGCTGTTGGATTTTAGTGTGGACTGGAAGTGCATTCAAAATTTAGGCAGGTTTCAAGGCTGCCCCAAAAAGTTTTGGATTTTGGAGCATTTTGGATTTTGGATTTTGGATTTTCAGATTATGATTGTTCAACCTGTACTATATCCTCAGCAAAAGCAAGACATAGGGGTTCAATAAATATTGCTATGATGAAAGATTGCAGTTAGCGAAACCAAACTCTGGGATGCATCTGGTTAGGAGGCTTCAACACACTGAAGGGTCTCACCATTGCAGCCTCTCATGTGGCAGACCTTCAAGCTAGTGTCAAACCTGAAGCCTGCAAATATTGACTGTGCATCTGTGATTCACTCTAGTGGGTTAGGATTTTGTGTAAAACTTACATTTGGTCGTGTCCTCTCCACCCTAAATAGTCTCCCCTAGATGATCTTTAGAAGAAATACAAAGGGGTGCTTTCTCACAAAAACTGCTCAGTACCCCCGGTCTGTCTGACACGCCTCTTCTGATATTCATGTTGCGGCTGAAGGAAGCTAAGTTCCCAGTTATGGCTGAAGGAACCTCAGTTCCCACTGACCCCTAATATTCCGCATTGGCATTGTGACAGTTTTGCTGTTAGGAGCCTGCATGGTGAGGTTGGAAGAGGTCCTGCCTCCGTAACATCCCCCAGGATCTCTGTGCAGGAGTTGCAATTTGGGTTTCTGACCAGAGCTGTTGTATTCTGGTTCCTAAATGCATTATCTGTCTGTCATTGGTTTGAGTATGTGTGCGCAAGTATATCAGTGTGTGGTTTGAGTAGTCTTTTGTGGGCTGTGGAACAGCGTTGCTGCATTTCACCCTGGAGTGGGTTTTATTCCTCTGGTGGAAATATTCATTCTTGTTAGCAGAGGGCTTAGTTTTTCAACACTAAGGTACCCTCTCTGGGAGTGATCATCACATTGCAGCGGTGAAACCTGTCATACCTTTACACCAAGAGCTTTCTATGTGCCAGGTGAATTCCATACCTATTTAATTTAGGCATGTCTTGGTGTTTTGATTTGGCTTTTTTTTTTTTTTTTGGTGGTACATTAGGTTTAAAAGCAAACATGTTGGCAGAGATTTTTGTTTTTGAGACAGTTTTTACTCTTGTTGCCCCGGCTAGAGTGCAGTGGCGCAGTCTCAGCTCACTGCAACCTCCGCCTCCCAGGTTCAAGGATTCTCTTGCCTCACCCTCCCAAGTAG